GTCCTTTGTACAACTGTGAAAACCGGTAAATGATCAGACATATCGGTAATTACAAGACCACTTAACACATCATATTCAAGAATATTTGTAAAAATATTGTCGATCAGTGTCGCACTAGTTTTTGTAATTCGAGATGGCCGAGTTATTAGTGGATACAGTCCCAAACTAAACATGGAATTAATAAACTCTGTATTTGCATTTTGCATTTGAGGATTCAACAGGTCAATGTTAAAATCCCCACAGACAAAACACATTTTTCTGTTGATTATATCATCATACATATCAACTATTTTTTTCTTTAAACATTTCAACACAAGATCCTGGTTTCCTATACATACAACTGACTAACACATTCTTAGACTTTTCTATTTGTATTTCCACAGATACACACTCCATAATGTTATCCATAACTAATGTCATATCACCCAACAATCTACTTTGAAAGTTTTTATCAATATACAAAGCCACACCCCCACCTTTTTGGCAATCTCTAATTGTGGAAAACATATTATATCCTTCAATTTGAAACATAGATATCCTCCCTTCCTGGAGCCATGTCTCAGAGATTGCTATTACAGTAAATGGATGATTTGATTGCTTCAAACATTGCATAATCTTCACAAAATTTGAATTTAGACTTCTACAATTGAAATGTATAACAGATAATTTACCTTTTATAGTGACATTATGTTCAAACTGGTCTTCAGTATAGTATTCACAATGATTTTGTACTCTAGTGTAAAAATTGTTATCTGGGTCAATGTCATCCTGCATATCCTGTGGTTTATATTCTGTGTAGTCAAACCTTTGCAATTGTAAATTTTCATAACTTGAATTACCAGTCTCTGTTCTTACTGTATTGAGAGTTGAATAATCCAGATTCTTCGTATATCTTCTTGTTGTATCATCCATGCGTGAAGTTGGTTGTCTTCCTCTTGTTCATCCTTGGTGATCCACAGCAGACGTATGTCATTTGTATTGATCAAGTTCTTTAATATCTCTGATGACCATCACTTTTGCCTGCTCCGGGGGACCATTTAGCTTTATCAGTACTTTGCAGTTTCTTGTCCAAGTGTCATGGATCTTCTTTTCTTTTCTCAGGATCCTTGCTTGCCTTGCGATTTCTGAGTTTCTTTTCGTAAGATGCTCATTTACATATACACTTGTACCCTTTAATTTTTTTGCATTCCTCAGCACCTCCATTTTACATTTTCTACTGGCAAGCCTGATCACAATGGTTGATGTTTTACTATGTTTTTGAGCCAATGAGTGACAAGCCACAATGTCTTTACTGGATATTGCAATAGCTTTGCTGTTGAAAAATTTGATCACCTGATCCTCAAGTGAGGGAGAACCTGGAGAATGAGTAGCAGTGATTTCAATGTCTTTTCCCCCGTCACAGGCTGCGGCCTGTGCATAGGTACGGTGTATTTCCAGTCCTGATATCAAGAGATCATCCAACCTTGAATGTTGCTCCAACTCGTCAACCCTCCGTTCAAGCAGCTCAATTTTTTTGTCCTTTTCTTGTATTAAAGCCTTAAGTTGCTTGACTTCTTTCAATACCTCCTGTAGGCCGCTTTGCTGTTTTGCCACTTAAGTTATCTCATGTGACATGAAATTCAAGGACTTTTTTATCTCCTCCATATCTTGGACCAGATTCTCCATAGACATCGTTGTTCCAAACAGTTTCCTTGGATGGTTAACTTTATGGCGTTGTCAGATTCCCAGCTGGTTGGAACATGTGCCGAAAAAAATATGTCCAACACTTCATGTATCGAATAAATGTTCAATACTTCATCTAGCTCAAAAATGGTTTAAGCCAAAGGTTTCTAATTACTTAAGCCACAAAAAAGCAAGCTTAGAAAAGGTGGATGTTGTCTTATTTTGCTGATATTCATATTTTAGGAAAGCTCAGCAATCTCACCACACCTACTCGGTAGCCATCTTTGTGCGGTTGAGGGTCTATGGGGTTGAGGTCTGGAGACTGGCTAGGCCACTCCAGGACTTTCAAATGCTTCTAACGGAGCCACTCCTTTGTTGCCCGGGCGGTGTGTTTGGGATCATTGTCGTGTTGGAAGACCCAGCCACGTTTCATCTTCAAAGCTCTCACTGATGGAAGGAGGTTTTGGCTCAGAATCTCACGATACATGGCCCCATTCATTCTTTCCTTAACACAGATCAGTCGTCCTGTCCCCTTAGCAGAAAAACTGCCTCAAAGCATGATGTTCCCACCCCCATGCCTCACAGTAGGTATGGTGTTCTTGGGATGCAACTCAGTATTCTTCTTCCTCCAAACACGACGAGTTGAGGTTATACCAAAAAGTTCTACTTTGGTTTCATCTGATCACATGACATTCTCCCAATCATCTGCTGTATCATCCATGTGCTCTCTGGCAAACTTCAGACGGGCCTGGACATGCACTGGCTTCAGCAGCGGAACACGTCTGCCACTGCAGGATTTGATTCCCTGCCGTTGTAGTGTGTTACTGATGGTGACCTTTGTTACTGTGGTCCCAGCTCTCTGCAGGTCATTCACCAGGACCCTCCGTGTGGTTTTGGGATTCATGCTCACCGTTCTCATGATCATTTTGACCCCACAGGATGAGATCTTGCGTGGAGCCCCAGATCGAGGGAGATTATCAGTGGTCTTGTATGTCTTCCATTTTCTGATAATTGCTCCCACAGTTGATTTTTTCACACCAAGCTGCTTGCCTATTGTAGATTCACTCTTCCCAGTCTGGTGCAGGTCTACAATGTTTTTCCTGGTGTCCTTCGAAAGCTCTTTGGTATTGGCCATAGTGGAGTTTGGAGTCTGACTGTTTGAGGCTGTGGACCGGTGTCTTTTATACAGATAATGTGTTCAAACAGGTGCCATTAATACAGGTAATGAGTGGAGGACAGAAAAGCTTCTTAAAGAAGACGTTACAGGTCTGAGAGCCAGAGATTTTCCTTGTTTGAAGTGACCAAATACTTATTTTCCACCCCGATTTACAAATAAATTCTTTAAAAATCCTGCCATGTGAATTCATGGATTTTTTTTTCACATTCTGTCTCTCACAGTTGAAGTGTACCTATGATGTAAATTACTGACCTCTGTCATCATTTTAAGTGGGAGAACTTGCACAATCGGTGGCTGACTAAATACTTTTTTGCCCCACTGTAAATCACTCAAGAAAAGATTCCCATCTGAACATCTGAGCTGGACACTGCTCAGCGCAGTTCACTGTCAGCGTGTACTACATAAGGTGCACAGCGAGCTGAAGATGTGGAGATTGGATTGGAGCGCGTCGCAGAACCAGAGCGCATGCGGAAAGATTCCTCCGACTGAAGCGAGACTTGTCACTTAGAAAATGTTTCCTGATGATGAAACATTGGCTGAATAGTGCTTGTTCCTGTCTCCAATGTGGCGACACACCCAGGAGCCGTCTGAGGAGAATCCCAGGATCTCACATCCTCTTCAGCTCAGAAAGCGCCGATATGATTACGCACAAGCGTGACGTGTCAACCCGGTCTCACAGTAAGACCGGGTTGGACCTGTTCAGGTTTACGCAGACAATCTTGACATTTAGAATTGGCATACAGATGTAAAATTAATGCAGTAAAATATAAAGCATTTTATTTAAATATCCAGTCATTATTTTACAAGCACAGAGAGCCGCATCAGATGGATGGAAGAGCCGCAGGTTGCTGAACCCTGACATAGACATAGGGAGAGAATCTCATTATGTCACGTTGCTGCATCGATGTGGAATCATGCACGGCTGAATCGCGATGCATCTTAGAATCGATCATTTTTCCCACCTCTAGTCAGAAGGCTGAACAATAACCTGTAGAATAATTAAAGTCATCATGCTAGAGCAGCTTCTCTGTGGTGGACCACATCAGCTTCTGCCAAAATAAATAATAATAATAATAATAATAATAACTCACACACAAAGTTGTGAACATTTAATTTCCTTTCTGAACTATTTCTGTTGAGTTTTAATGTTTAAACCTGTTAGCTTGTTACTGACAGCAGCTACGTTTAAGTTCCACTTCCTGTTGTGACTGAGCGCTGCTGCAGCATGGAGGTGTAGTTCTCAGTCATCCTGGACATGATCATCCTGAGAGTTTTAGCTGAAAACAGCTGGACGTTTCTGGATATGTTGGAGACATTTAGCCTCTCATCCCAGAGGCTTCTTCCAGACTTTGGTTGTGGTCAGAAACAAACACACTGGTTGTGCTGCAAGTCATCTTCTTTTCGTCTCCAAAACATGTTTTTGTCTAATTGAAGGTGATGTTGTTCATAGAGTTAAAATTCATGTTGAAGTTAAGATTTCATCAGGTAGGACCTGTGGTTAGCTGGCTCATGTAAAACATGTCATGTCTTCAAAGAATCGGAAATCAATAGGAACCGGAATCGTTCCAAATCAAACGATGCCCAACCCTACCCTCCATCTCCTACACATCTGTAGGGGGCAGATCTGTGGTCCCTCACTCTCTGTTGGATACTCCTATAGAGAAGCCTTACATAAACAAGCGCGTGTACACACACAGGTGCTCTCATAAGTATGGACTTGAGCACGTTCAACACGTCTTAAGGCTGTGGTTGGCACTAAATACACTGTGATTTATTATCATGTGGTTGTTCAGTAAAACAATGTTGATTTTATATTTCCTCATCAGGTTGACGCGGTGACAGCTTGCTCCTGATGTATTGTTGTGTGTCCCTTTTCTTTTTTTTTCTACTTCTGCAGGTCTAGAAGCAGACTCTTGTTCATCATTGTTTATTTTTGTGTCACACACACACACACACACACACACACACACACACACACACACACACACACATTTAATGCCAGCATTTGTGAGAAAATTATACAATTTCAACACAATAGAAATCTCGTACCTCTCAAACTCGGAGTCATTTCAGACAAATCTAACACCCCGAAGTCTGATTCATAAACAGAATGAGGTTTTATAAGAAACACCTAAATGAGCTTGGTTCATTTGTTTCTTACCTGTAAGAGGGAGGTCCTCTGCTCGTTCCTTTGGACCTTAGAGGAAAGGTGGTGAAACTCCACAGCCATGCGGCCCAGATGAGCTAGGAGCTGGTTCGGGTTGGACTCCTCTGCGAATATGCTGAAGGAACTCTCGAGCCTCTTCAGCTCACTCGCCAGCTCATTGTTCTCCACAGGAAGTTGGGGAGTCACTCTTGCCTCTAACCCAGCCTGGGGATACCCACACACAGGTAAAAAGTTGGACATCTTCCAACGTGACCCAAATACAGTGAGTGTGAAAGTTTGGGCAGCATTGGTAACCTTCATGATTTTCCTGTTGGTTGCTACAATAAATAATTTCAGGTAAATATACTGTATCATACAGCAAACAGTGATATTATAGATGTGAAACAAAGTTTATAGGATTTACAGAAATTATGCAATAATTGTTTGAACAAAATTGGGCAGGTGCATACCTTTGGGCACTGTTTTATCTATCACATTGGATCACATTTTATGTATGGTGGGATGTAGGATTTACGATGGACATCAGAACATCCCACGATAGGTAAAACGCAGATAAAAGGAAGTGACACCACCATCACCGGTGATCTCTGAGGATGGCTAGAGCTGCTAGCTGAAACATGTAATGTTTACTAAACGGTGTAAGAAAAGAACTAAAACTGGATTACAAACAGAGCTGCTTGAGGTATGCTACAGCACATTTGGACAAGCCAGCTTCAGTGTTTGCGAAAACTTTTGAGCTACACTTGCCAAACTCACAGACATGGGATTGTCTGCCAGATAAACGTCCTCATGGGCTCCAGCTTTTAACTGTTTAACAGCGGGTGTTTTAGTGACCTCTGACCATTACATATTATACATATTTTACCTCTGACCATTACATATTATACATATTTTTATTGTGGCAATAATCTGTTGAAATAAATTAAATAAAGGACCATCAATGTAATTTTCTGTAAAATTCAGAAAATGAGGGTTAGACAGTCCTGCTTAGGAAACAAACCAACAGAATTTATCAGAAAATTATGAGAGATCCTCATATATCTATTATGAATTATTTATGAAACACCAGAACTAGAATACATTTAAATGTTGCAATGGTTCATAAAGGGTTATTGTGAGTGATGTAGCCTAATGTTACTGTTCCTGTGCTGGCTGAAGAGTGAAACTGACAGTTGCCAATGCGGGTTTATCTCAGCTGTTTGTTAAACTACGTCATTCTGTCTGCCGTTTTAGTTCAGTCCAAATGTCACAATAAAAAGAAATGATTACAAGTTACCTCACATTTGTAATACAGCTGCCTAAATCTATTAAAAGGGTCAGAAGAATCATTTGTGCGGGCAGCCAGAGATGATCTCGGATGGATTGTTGAAAATGTCTGTCAGCAAATCAGAGCAAATTATCAACAGTCAATTTTTGGTTTTCAGGAGGTTTATTTCATTTTGGCAAGTTCAGAGAAGAGAAGACGCACGTCAGTCATACTGTGAAGTAGGGCTGCTCAATTTATCGAATTTTAATCCCAATTACGATTTGAGTTTTGAACGATTATAAAAACAAAGCAAGCCGATTATTTGCTCCTCCCACTTGCGCTGCCTTGAGTTGCAAATGAAGCGCTCCTCCCACAGTGTTGCCAACTAATCGACTTTGACGCTATTTCTAGCAGCTTTTCAGACCCCCTTCTTGACTTTTTAAATCTCAAAAGTACCTGGCGAACACCTGAGAAACATCTCTGGTAAATGTGCGTGTGCTGCGCGCTAAACACACGTGCAGCTTGCCCCTGATTGCTGTGAGACCGGGTTGGGGGTGGGGGGTGCAGCTGTGGTTGGGACAATTATTACATTAACTGATGGACCTGTAAATAAATAGTTTATAAATAAGGTTGAAATAGAGATAAGTTCCTCACGCTGATAAATAATAACTAATCTCTGAGGACACCTACAGCACCTTGACACGACTCAATAAATGTTACGCAACATTTTGTGAACATCAATTTATTTGCATTTATTTGTTATAAATGCCACTGTATAATTCTTGCCGTCAGTATTTGCAAGATATTGGTATTTGGGTCTGTACTGGTTAGACTTACAGGAGTTAAACCAAGGTCTATAGCCCTTGGGTCATAAACTATGCGCTATAAGCATATTGGTATTTATGTTATTTATTTATTTATTTATTATTTATTTATTTTAGTGATCATCTTGTTTATTTTTGTCCTGATTGTGCCCTGAGCAATTTTATGACTGAATAAAAACAAATAAAATCAACATAAATTGAAAAATCGTCTTAAACGATCGAGATCTCAATTTCAGTCACAATAATCGTCATTATTATGTTTGCCATAATCGAGCAGCCCTACTGTGAAGATCTAAAGTTTTTCGTCGGACGGTATTAAAACTCCTCTGTAATGTCCGACTGTTTAAAGTGTTTTCACAATCACTGCAGCTTCATTTTGTAATAAGGTGCTGTGGACTGATAACTAAAATGGAGTTATTTGGGCATAACAAGGGGTGTTATGCATCCAGGAGAAAGCTACCTGCTACCTACACAGTGGTGGTTCGAACCCGCTGTGGGGCTGTGTGGGCAGTGCCGAGACTGGGAATCTTGTTCAAGTTGAGGGACGCATGGATTCCACTCAATACCAGTGGATTCTGGAGAACAATATCCAGTAATAAGTGGCAAAGCTGAAGCTGCACCAGGGCTGGATCTTTCAGCAAGACGACGCTGAACACGGCTCAAAATCATGCCAACCTGGACATTTTCACCAGCCTGCGCTCAGTTCTTAGGCATCTTCAGTTAACAGTTTCAGAATTCAGCGTTTTATCAGCAGTTCGACAAGAAATGCAATTCATCTAGTTTGTGTAAAGTATGAACTTCTGTTACGTACCGTCAAGGCATCAGAGTTCTTTCCCTCCATATTCACTGCATCAAATTCTGATAAGACCTCCTGTAGAAACCACACAGTAAAGAAGTCATGCTGGTGATGTGGTAGGAAACCAAACTGTCTCTACCTGCTATTATGGTGTCTGGACTACTTACATTGGACCTCTCGGGCTGAAGGGTCTGCCCTAAACAGCTCGTCTGCTCCTCTTTCTCAGCAGTTGAGTGTAAACAAGGTTTGTCTGAAGTAAAACAAGTGTCTGGTGATCAAAACGCATCTCAGAGTACAAAGTGAAGTTGAGACCAAACGTATGGAACCTACTCTGTGTCTCGGTCTGAACCGGCCCTCCCATATACAGACTGGCAGCAAAACTGGACGACTTTAAGGCTTCATTGTCTTTCACCAGTTCCTCCACTCGCTGACGAAGCCTTGACGCCTCTGACTGAGACTCCTCCAGCAAATCACCTGGGATTAACAGAGAAGAAGTTGAACTCAATGTCATGAAACTCCTTGTTATCCTCATAAGTGTGAGCAGGAACAGGTTTTAAATGGAACATGACAGAAGTTATGAGAATATAAGCATGCCTTTGGTGAGTCACAAACAACAGCACGTCCAACCATAGCACTGCTATGAAGACTTTTCTAAAGATGGCCCATGGAACATTTCAGGTTCTACCCTACCACAGCTGCTGCACAACTGTCATCTTCTGCATGTGCATACTAGACTAGATTACAGATTCTGAGCAATTATGTCTCGCTGAAGAAATGAAGGAATATCTGAACATTTTTTGGAATATACCTAAGCTCTTAAGTCCCTTCATCCTCTCCCTCAGCATACTGTTCTCCTCCAGCAACTGTCGATAACTGCTACTCCCAACAGTCTCATCTCTGGATTTGACCTCACTCCCACCAGGATCATAGATGCGATATGGACCTTTCCCTTCCATCATCGTCTCTCACTTCCTACACATGGTCTTCTGAACTGTAGGGAAGATGGCAGACTGTTATCAATTACATGAAATAATATGATGCAGGTCACTCAGCAAAAGAAAAATATGCTATTTAAACAAAAGACATCATTTGGTGATAGTTATGAAGACTATTTTGATTGAGGCTAATTTACAGGAGCAGAAAAGGTTTTGCACCTTTAACAGTTATATGTGACCTTTCTCTGTACTAGTACACTTCAGGAGTGGACAACAGCACATATTCCCTACTTCTACTAGTGTTAAAGTCAACAACCACATAATCCATGCTTCGAGATGTGGCCATAAATGATTCTGAATCGTAGATGTACGCCATAATCGATTGTAGTGTAATGCAGTTCAGATTTTTATCCATGTAGGAAATATTGGTCCGCCTTTATGTGGTGTTGCAGGGTTGCACTGGAGGTCTAACCCGAGACCAAACCCAAACAGAGTAAATCCAACTGTTTGAGTCAGATTTGGGCCAGGGGTAGGTCGAGCAGGTGAAAACGATGCAGAGTCTCTGCTCACGCAACAGAGAGGACGCACCTCGAAACACGCGTTATGTCTCCTTGCTATTTCAAGAAGAGCTTAAAAAAAACTCAGTCGGGCTCAGAGATCTGGTGTTGGGAGATCCGGTGTTGGGAGATCCGGTGTTGGGAGATCCGGTGTTGGGAGATCCGGTGTTGGGAGATCCGATGTTGGGAGATCCGATGTTGGTGGGGGCGAGTGACAGCAACTGCAGGATCTAATCATCCGTCTCTTTTATTTAGGATCACAGAGAAGTTTACAGGGAAGGGAGTTCCTCTGAATGAGAGAACAACCAAAGAGAAATAAAAACAATATGTGCTGCTGTTACACTATGTTTGTTAAATTCAAATTAAAGAAGTTCAGGCAGGAAGTTTTGGGTTATTTTAATTTACAGGAGATCTTGTTTCCCATCTGCTCCTCTAGAGACACCATGGACATGAGGAGATAATAAAAGTCATGCTGGGCAAGTTAGAGGAAAGGCTAGCTGGTTAATGAAGGCGCACCATCAACTGGGAAGACTGTCATTTAATCCTAATTCAGCTCACAGCCTCCACCTGGAGTTAATATCATCTGCAAGAATACAACAAACACCTAAAATATTAATGGAAGTCTAGGATTTTATGTTTTAGTATTTTCTGCCGTCGTCGTCGTCTTCCTCCGCTTATCCGGGTCCGGGTCGCAGGGGCAGCATCCCAACTAGGGAGCTCCAGAACGTCCTCTCCCCGCCCACCTCCACCAGCACCTCCGGCAGGACCCCAAGGCGTTCCCAGACCAGATTGGAGATGTAACCTCTCCAACGTGTCCTGGGTCGACCCGGGGGCCTCCTGCTGGCAGGACATGCCCGAAACACCTCCCCGGGAAGGCGTCCAGGAGGCATCCTGACCAGATGCCCAAACCACCTCAACTGACTCCTTTCGATCCGGAGGAGCAGCGGTTCTACTCTGAGTCCCTCCCGAATGTCCGAGCTCCTCACCCTATCTCTAAGGCTGAGCCCGGCCACCCTATGGAGGAAACTCATTTCGGCCGCTTGTATCCACGATCTCGTTCTTTCGGTCATTACCCAAATGCTCATGACCATAGGTGAGGACTGGGACGTAGATAGACCGGTAAATGGAGAGGGTTTTCCTAGCTCAAATTGAGGCAGAGGTGGTACCATCCTAACCACGCGCCAGCACATGCGTACTATGTGCATTCAACTGCCTCACGTTTTTAAAGACTACATATTATAAAAGGCTCAATAATATGCATTAGATTGGTGTTTAGTTCCCTTTATCCTATCTGATATTTATAGTTAAAATATTTTTAATATTTGACCTACATTTCAGTAACATGTTAGGTTTGTATTAATAACACTCGTCTTAGTCTAAATAACACATAAATATATCCAGTAACATATAATGCATTTCATTAACATGCATTTGTACTGGAAATGCTAATAACATGTAATTTCTGCTGCTAACAATGTAATGGTGGCATGTCTATTATGTACGGGTTAGGGTTGGGGGGGGTTCCGTTTTGCCTTGGCCCCCAAAATGCCTTGAAACGGCCCTGGGTGTGTGACTGAGTGTTGAAGGTGATCTGAATTGTATCAGATGTATAAATATTACGTGTATAACTTATTGTTTTATACAGGTAAAAATGTGTTGTGGACATAAATCTACCTACATTTTACCTTCAAGCTTTGTTTTCTTGTTTTTATTTAACTATTTCCTGTCCTGTCTGTCTCTCACCTTCCTGCATCTCCTCTAAAGTCTCCAGAAGAACGGCTGCCTGGATTCTTACTCTTTCACCTCATCAGTTACTTCTGAACTACGCAGACCAAAGGATCTCCTGACCGCAAAGCGGAGAGCGCGTTTCGATGCTGCGTCAGTGAGGTGGAGTCACGGCAGCACACGTTGAGTGGAGCGCGTCCGGAATGATTAAAAGACAGAGTACCAGAGGATGTAAACAGATATGAATGATCATGTGTTAATAATAATGTTTTGTTGCGCCACCTTGAGAATGTATCGTGCACCGGACACAGCGGGCGCACCAACGGTCAGCACTCTGCGTCCTCTCCGCTCAAAAGAATCCCCGCTACACTGAGAGTCCATAAATATTGTAATATAGGCAGAAACTGGATGTTTCCCTGAAAGATATCTAACCCCATAACTCAATCCCTGCTCCTGGATGAAAAACCGGGCATTTTGATCCATGTAGGACACCCCCCGGACAGAGAGTGAAAAGTGGACATGTCCGGGGGAAAGAGGACGTATGGTCAGCCTACAATAGCACCAACCATGGATATGTACCACCTGGCGAGAAAAGCTATTTTTGATCTTTTTCTGCAGCGGTTTGTGCTTTTCGGTGCACCGCTGCTGATGCAGCGCCCCTGTAGTGGCGCAACGCTGCAACTGCAGTTAAAACAACATCCATATAGCTGGGGGCAGAGTGACATCAGGCTGGGGTGGCACAAAAATAGCTGGAGGCGGCCGCCACGCACATTTGAACGCAGGAAGAACCTGGCATACAGATGAGCTGCATGCATCGACTATTATATTAAGTTTGCACGACACGCACAAAAGTTGCACAACACAACAAATGCATTGGCAACGCCTTTTCTTTTTTTAATCTGTATCGATTTTATTGATTCATGCAGCCCTACTGAGTATCATCTGATTCTCTTGTATTTTTAAAATGATGACATCAAACAGACAAAAAAATAATAAGTTATGGGCAAATTTGAGTATTTTAAAAACTAAAAAGGGAAAAAATGTAAACATGATTACAAAATAGTTCATTTTTGGCTAAATTTAGACACAAACTGAATATTTTCCTGATATAGAGGGTTTATTTAGTTGTCTGAAAATGTGACACATTTTTAAAAAATACCATGATAATATCAAGAACCATGATAATTTTGGTCACAATAACCGTGAGGTTAAATTTTCACACTGTGGCAATCTTAACAGAGACATAACAGCCCGTATCAGAGGGCCTTGTACCCCATACTACCAAAGTACCTCCTATTGCTCCTCCTGAACTTGAGGTTCGACTATCCGACGATGTTAAATCTCTTTAAATGCTTGCCCTTTTACACTATCCTAGGGACTGTTTAGGGGACAGCATGTTGTGTCTGATGTTTTTGATTAAAAAAACTACTTCTACTGAAAACAAATAATAATAATAATAATAATAATACATTTTATTTAAAAGCGCCTTTCAGAACACCCAAGGTCACTTGACAGAAAACACGTAATAAAATACAATAATAATAAAACCCAAACAAGAAAAAAAAAAACAGAGAGAAACAGTCCAATAAAATCAGAGGTTGTAGGCAGATTTAAACATGTGTGTTTTGAGTTTTGTTTTGAAAAGGGTAAAACTCAGGGTTCCCACTCTTTTCTTGAAATAATTTTCCAGGACTTTTCCAGGACATTTTCAAGACTTTTTCAGTGTACAAGTCAAGTTATCATAACTGCGGTTTGCCGATATCCCGATATATTTAGAAACAGATATGATATTGTACCTACCCACACCGTTATTTTGACAATATAGTTGTGGAAAGATTTTTGTCTTTCACAAGCCCACCTGCTTTCCTCTACTTACAATGCAACACAACTAAAACAGAAGTTATTCTCTACTTTAGTTCATACCAGAGGTGTGACATTGTGGCATCATCAAGTCATCTCCATGTCCTGTTTTTGTTCTGCTCAGCAACTGAACCAGGTTAATCCACTGTGCTGAATGAAATCGTCGTCGTCTTCCTCCGCTTATCCGGGTCTGGGTCGCGGGGGCAGCATCCCAACTAGGGAGCTCCAGACCGCCCTCTCCCCAGCCACCTCCACCAGGACCCCAAGGCGTTCCCGGACCAGATTGGAGATGCAACGTCTCCAACGTGTCCTGGGTCGACCCGGGGGCCTCCTGCCGGCAGGACATGCCCGAAACACCTCCCCAGGGAGGCGTCCAGGGGGCATCCTGACCAGATGCCCAAACCACCTCAACTGACTCCTTTCGATCTGGAGGAGCAGCGGTTCTACTCAAGAGTCCCTCCCGAATGTCCGAGCTCCTCACCCTATCTCTAAGGCTGAGCCCGGCCACCCTATGGAGGAAACTCATTTCGGTCGCTTGTATCCGCAATCTCGTTCTTTCGGTCATTACCCAAAGCTCATGACCATAGGTGAGGATTGGGACGTAGATTGACCAGTAAATCGAGAGCCTGGCTTTCTGGCTCAGCTCCCTCTTCACCACGACAGATCGGCTCAACGTCCGCAGCACTGCAGACGCCGAACCAACCCGCCTGTCGATCTCCCGATCCCTCCTACCCTCACTGGTGAACAAAACCGTGAAATACTTAAACTCCTCCACTTGAGGTAGGACCTCTCTCCCGACCCGGAGTTGGGAAGCCACCCTTTGCCGGTCGAGAACCATGGTCTCAGATTTGGAGGTGCTGATCCTCATCCCAGCCGCTTCACACTCGGCCGCGAACCTACCCAGCAAGAGCTGA